TAAGATCATCTCAGAAGACTTCATCACTGAATGCTCAGTGAATTTGTGGCTTCTGGAAAGCTGCATGAAGATGTTGAAGGGAAACTGAGGAGATTAAATAAATACTCTTGGCGGTCTGGCCAGCCAGAAGCCATCAGGGTCAGATAGAGTGGGTGGGCTTCTCTTCCGATTGTGTAATGATACCCACTGGCACCCTCCTAAGTTCTTAATTTGATGGTGCTGAGTGTGTGTTTATGTGTTGGTGTATGTTATGTTAGTGTGAATGTGTAAATTACTATGTCTCCCTCAGTCTTTCAGTATTTAGCACCTCCATAGACTTTGAGAGTAGCAGTAACAAATTTGTATGGTTGTGCTCGCTGTATTATTTAAGCAGCAGATCTCTTGTGTGTTGTTCGAGCTTTGCTTCTGGTTTGTTTTGGACTGAATGTTCATCGACATTCCAGCAATAGTGCAGAGAAGGCATTCAGTGCCAGAAAAAATACTATATTTTCTTTAATATTTATTAATTCATTAATAACTTAATTAATGTTTTTATTTAATTGTTTATTTTTCTGTTAAAACATTTTTATAGTTAATATTTTCATTTATTAATCTTATTATATTTTATTAATGGTTTAATTTGGTGTTTGCAAACAGTGATGACGTTTTTTGTGGGCGAAGTCTATCTGGTGGCAGAAAATGACAGTTTTAAAGTAGCGGTCTATGGAAGCCATGGAATAAAAGTATAAAAAAGGTAATAAAAAAGGTAATTTCTGATTATATATTTCACAATTCTGATAAGAAAAATCAACTCATCATTCTCTCTTTACCCCTCAGCTCAGAATCATGAGTTTATATCCCACACTTGGCTTTTTTTCCCTCTCAGAATTGACAAAATTGCAATTGTTGAGTTAAATTGAGTTATAAAGTCCGAACTAGGAGATATAAACTTGCATTTGCGAGAAAAAAAGTCAGAATTGTGAGATAAAATAGGTAAATGCATGTAAATGTCTATTTCATGCTGTAACTGCAGGGCTAATACAATATGTCCCCTATGAACTGCATATGTGAATATTATGTAGACCTATTGTTTAAATAAAATTTATGCTTTAAAAGTAGGGTAATCATAGCAGGTTTCATCCATAGTCTTTCCGTTTAAACGTCTGCGTTTAGCTTCAAATGGTGTCTTTGATGACAGTATTCTATAAAAATGATTTGCATTCCGATTCTGACATCCAAAAGCACAACAATAAATCTTTTCTATTATTCTATGGATTTTACCCATTTTCCTCCACTTGTTCCCAGTGTTTTTCATGTGACGTAACAGTGACATCTACTCCAAATTGGTCTATAGCTGGAAATAATACTAAAATGTAACTCCATCAGGGACGCGGGAAGTAGGGGTGCTGAGGGGGCTGCAGCACCCCCTGTTTTCACATGGTTGCAAATGCAACGCCAAGTTTGTTCATTTAAATTTATTCAGTTTTAGCATTTAATAATTTATTTGTAATGATCTCTGAAATGTAAATTGTAAGTGGGCTATAATAAACCCATGTTTATCTTTATAGCCAGTCTGTCACTTTAAGACAATATATTGACACACATCGGATTTTCTCCCAACTGTTCTACTCCACTTAAGACATAAACTGTGTTTAAGTAAATACTCTCCAAGCCGGCCATTTTGACATATTTTTGTGTGTATTTGATCGATTGGACATGCACCTGAAGCTCAAAGTGTAATTTGTTTGTCCATTTTGGAGCGCGCCGCGCGCACACATTTCAGCCTGAGGAACAGCGTCTCTTGTGCGGATTGTGCTTTCAACGTTTTATTATCAAACATGTCCCGCAATTTAGCAACAGTAAAGAC